AAATAGGCCGCTGTCTTTACAACTTTATAATTCCATGCAGTATATAGCCCTATCGGCCACTTTCTGACATCCAGTTGCTGTAGCCCCCATCACCACACTGTGCCACGGGCCCCTGTACCGCCTTCTCATACTGCTGCCAGATCCATCCTCTGCCATGTGCGTCTTTGTCGTCTGCTCACGCTGCTGGGTTCCAGTTTTTAAACCTAGGCCTGTGTATGGCTTCCGAATACTGCTGCATCCACCGCCACCCTGCGCCATGTGTCTCTGTCGTCTGCTCACGCTGCTGACGGCTTCCGCTTTTTAACCGAGGCCTGTGTTTGGCTTCCGAATACTGCTGCATCCACCGCCACCCTGCGCCATGTGTCTCTGTCGTCTGCTCACGCTGCTGACGGCTTCCGCTTTTTAACCGAGGCCTGTGTTTGGCTTCCGAATACTGCTGCCTCCACCGCCACCCTGCGCCATGTGCCACTTTCAGGTCTCCTTACACTGTTGGTGGGTTCCATTTTGTGATAGGGTGCTGTATGGCCTTCCATTGCTGCTGCCTCCACCGCCACCCTGCGCCATGTGCCTCTGTCGTCTGCTCACGCTGCTGACGGCTTCCGCTTTTTAACCGAGGCCTGTGTTTGGCTTCCGAATACTCCTGCATCCACCGCCACCCTGCGCCATGTGTCTCTGTCGTCTGCTCACGCTGCTGACGGCTTCCACTTTTTAACCTAGGCCTGTGTATGGCTTCCGAATACTGCTGCCTCCACCGCCACCCTGCGCCATGTGCCACTTTCAGGTCTCCTTACACTGTTGGTGGGTTCCATTTTGTGATAGGGTGCTGTATGGCCTTCCATTGCTGCTGCCTCCACCGCCACCCTGCGCCATGTGTCTCTGTCGTCTGCTCACGCTGCTGACGGCTTCCGCTTTTTAACCGAGGCCTGTGTTTGGCTTCCGAATACTGCTGCATCCACCGCCACCCTGCGCCATGTGTCTCTGTCGTCTGCTCGCGCTGCTGACGGCTTCCGCTTTTTAACCTAGGCCTGTGTATGGCCTTCAATTGAAGCTGCTTCTGCTCCGCCACTCTGCCATTGGACTCTTGATAGTCGTCTCCCCACGCTGCTGCTGGGGGGACTTTTTAACATAGGCCTCTGTATGGCCTTCAATTTTAGCTGCTTACGCTCCGCCACTCTGCCATGGGCCCCTGTACCGCCTCCTCATGCTGCTGCCAGGCCCGTAATCTGTCATGGGCCCCTGTACCGCCTCCTCATGCTGCTGCCAGGTCCAGAGTGTGTCATGGGTCCCTGTACGGCCTCCCATTGCTGCTGTCTCCATCGCCACACTCTGCCATGTGCCACTTTCAGGTCTCCTCACACTGCTGGTGGGTTCCATTTTGTCATAGGGTGCTGTATGGCCTCCCATTGCTGCTGCCTCCACCGCCACACTGTGGCTCCACACTCTGGCCCCGTGACTGCCCAAATGAGTGAAGTGTGCGGTGATTCTAAGATCGACGGCACTCATCTGCATGTCATACTGACTGACAGTATTATTTCTCTTCCCCAGCAGACTCCAAGGGCATTTAAATTAAAGGTACAGTGTTCTGCACTAATATAAAGGCTCTCTGAAGCCTAGAAACACCTTTTTATAAGTTAAATTCGCAGCGAATATATTCGCCTCGAAACGAATTTATTCCGCGAATTCGGCGAATCAGCCGAATCAAATTTTTGAATAATTCGCCACATCTCTAATAGCCATATCAACAGATTCTAAAAATGTCCGAAGTAAGAACTACTGGAATTTGGCACACGTATCGATGCTTGTACCGAAACTGGCTCAAGTCTATTTTATGACTTTTACCACAATGCAGGCTATGAGATTTTTCACTTATCTCTTATTTGCAATCTCTTCCAAATCTACAAAACTATACCTCCTCCCTTTTTTATTGCAACATTTTTTTTCAAGTAAATTGTAGAGATTGTTCTTTTACAAGAATATAGGCTATGTGCCTTATATTATTATTATACGGGATTTATATAGCGCCAACAGTTTGTGCAGCGCTTACAAAATGAAGGAATTACAGTTACAATACAATTTGGTACAATAAGCAACAGAGGACCCTGCTCTTTAGAGCTTACAATCTTTGGAGCTTTGGAGACCTTTGGAGAAAGGTTTAGAGGCAGTGGGTGGATTTCACCAGTTGGGTTCTCACCAACCAGAAATCAAACAACAAACTAGAAAACTAAAAGTGGAACACTTGGGAGATACTGTATACATATAATGCACTTGCATTACATGCAACAATGATTTTAATACTAAATACTGGGGGCCTTTATTTTGGGGCCACAGGTTTAGGTCATCTCCCCACTTAGAGGAAAGGCTTCCTGACTCAGACATGTATCAATCAGTCATTAATTGCTGTACAATAAATCCTAAAGAAACCCTGACAAATAGAGTGGAGTAAAAATTTCCTGCGCATGAGTGAGAAGGACTATAGGCCACTCTCCTGATTGTATCACATGGAATAGATGAATAGTGAAAGTAGACCAATGGAAATGATAGGCCTTGCTGCTCTCACAGATAACTGGGGAAATCCAAAATGGCAACTGCAGGCAAATGAACAGAGAGCACACCAACCTAGTGCATTATCCAAAGATCAATTTATTTGAGAATAGGATAAAAAATACTCACAAACATTTCCGTGAATGCTCATAGAACAAAAGTCAGCATGGTACACCTAAACTCCTCCCACATCCTACAACCGGGGGGAGGAGACAGGTAAATGATCATTGATGTAAATAAACACCTGTCTCCTCCCCCCGGGATGTGGTAGGAGATTAGGTGTACCATGCTGGAATTATGTATTGTGATGATAGGCTCCTGGTGCTTGGCTCAGAGAAAAAAAAAAAAGATATACATTTAATTTGGGTACAGTGTTGCATGACCACGCATTTACCAGTTAAAGTAGTACAGTGGCAAATAGCAAAAAATGGCCTGGTCATGAAGGGGGTAGAACCTTCCCTAGCTCAAGTTGTTAAGCTTAGGTGTAGATAAGTTATACCTACCTTTTTCCTTGCTCTGGCAGTGGTCACCTGTTCTCTCTGTCTCTCTGTCTGGCTTGTAGGCAAACCGCACCATACTCACTTATAGTGATGGGCCGAACACCCCTGGTTCTGTTCACAGTCGTACATTTGAACCTAATGAAAGTTTGACCACAAACTTCGAACTGGGACAATTTACTAAGCGGACTCTTGCCGAATCAAAGTATATGGTAAGATACTACACAGCTGCTAAATACCGCATGAGTTATAATATTAAGTCATGCAGAATTTTAGAAGACATTCTTTAATGTTTCAACTGTCCGCTGAACTTTTTTTTTTTAAAAAAAAGGCGTGGAGGTCCCCCCAAAATCCATACCAGAAACTATTCCGAGCATGCGGTCAGCCCTCCTGAACCATACCACACCACATGCCCTCATTATCGGGGGGGGTGTTTTGGAGCAGGGGGCCCCCCCCAAAGCACCTTTGTTGATGGGGACAAGGACCTCTTCCCCACAACCATGGCTGGTGGTTGTGGGGATCTGCGGGTGGGGGGCTTTTTGGAATCTGGAAGCACCCTTTAACAAGGGGGCCCCCAAATCCCAGCCCCCCCCATATGAATAAGTATGGGTTACATGGTACCACTACTGATTCACAAAAAAAAAGTGTAGTGTCCCCTGAAATAGATCCAACATCAATCAAAATGCCCGCCGCCTCCGCCAACGATCTGTCGTCTGACAGCTGCACTGGCATGACACAATTATAATGCACTCTCAGAGTGCAGTGCATTGTGGGGCATGGCGAGCAAACAGCCCGAACGCCCAATGCTCAACTGTACTCATATACAATGCAGAGCTACTGGTCCTGCAATGTATGTGATAATATATAAATGTGACCACCAGTCGAAGCATCCTAAGGACAAGGCATGTTTTACAGCTTATGCCTCTACCACCAGACTGAGTAACTAACCCTTGCAGTGCAGGGTGGTGGGGTGCAGCAAGGGTGTGTTTTGGGGGGTAATTTCAAGGGTTCAGCTTTAAATGCTAACTTTATAAATAAATTGTAAGTCATTTGAGGGTTAATACTAAAAGAAAAAATTGCTTTATGTAACTGAGTTACAAATATTTAAGTAAGTAGATTACCTTTATTCAGATCTTGTAGATATTTCCAGTTGAATTATTGTATTTTTCCAAAGCCTATTAATAGCATTGGCAGGTGATTCAGAGTCACATGACACCCATAAATACACACTTACTCTTGTGTCATAGCCCCTGCTGGCGTTTGCACAGTCTCATATTACTATTATAGACATTTTTAGAGAAGTGCAGGTTTAGAGGCAGACAAGGAAGCAAAGAAAAAAAAAAAACAGTCTGGACTCCAGGGCATATATTGCATACATTCTTAACTATTACTTAACCTCCCTGGCGGTATGATTATTTCATATTTTTGGTGCTGAAAGCGGTACCATTATTTTGCATGGAAATATGTAGTTTTTTTATTGTAGGCTGTAATTTTTAGGAATAACTCACTGAAATCTGTCTGAACAAGATTCTAAATCATACATTTAATTCAATAATATAATCAAACAAAAAACACTGAAATTTGAAATATAGTGGCAAGTTTGCACAGCAAAGTCGCAGAATCGTTTTCAGTGTCTGATGACGAATTTCCCCACGAATCATTATCACTCAATTCTGCAAGTGGTTCTGATTTACTATCGTTGTTCTCTAGCCGGTCTAAAACCCGCTTTTGACCTAAAGGGACACTTTTTGGACGCCATGGACTTTTCTACGTATCCAGGCAGAAAGAACAATCAAAATGCAGGCAGGGCACAGGACAAAGCACTCGGGACAAAATGTATGTGAAATGGGTTGAAACAGCAATGTTTTACTATGTAAAATCGTTTTGAAAAAAAAATGAATTTTTTTTTTAAATTTTCAAATTTCCCGCCGCTGGCAGCGCCCGTACGTCCCGACGTCACAGGGACCGGAACACAGGAGCCGGATGCCGGCATCAGCCGGAGGAGATGGCCGGAGACGCTGCAGGGGACACATCGCGGGAGCCAAGGACAAGGTAAGTGCTGCAGGGACTCCCTATGCAGCGCTGCATGGTAAGCCCGAGTGTAGCTCGGGGTTACCGCTTTTGGTACAGACATTTTACCCCGAGCTACACTCGGGAATACCGTTAGGGAGGTTAACTTATTTTTAACTGCTTCAATACCGGGCACATTTACCCCCTTCCTGCCCAGGCCAATTTTCAGGTTTCAGCTCTCTCACACTTTGAGTGACAATTGCTCGGTCATGCAACACTGTGCCCAAATTAAATGTTTATCATTTTATTCCCACAAATAGAGCTCTCTTTTGGTGATATTTAGGTTGAATATGTTTTTATTGTTAAGGTAGGCAAATACATCACAAGCAACCAAAAAGCAATAGATGCAAATATATGAAAATGTCTGTGGGCACAAAATTTTGCAAAAGAGGAAACATCAAAACTTCCAAATATGGTAAATTACAGACGCTATCCATGCAATTGTCTTATCCAATATTGCTTTAAGATGTTCAATAAAAAGATCAATTTTTCCAGTAACAATATGCTTTAAAAAAGGAAAAAAAAAAAGGAAAGATACTCCAAGAGAAAGGGTAAGAAGAAGGGAAAAGGAAAGAAGGGGTAATAGGAAGGGAAATCTCTGGAAACAGTGCATTAAACCCTTAAGGGAGAGTAAAATCCAAATAGCCAATCTTATGTAACCTGAAACTGCAAGGGTGGCAAAACTATATGAGGGAGAATCAGGAGACAGAGGGCATGAGTTCTGAAGCCACCATTAATGGTGGGCTAGATGTTCAAGTCAAACTCAGCTCAAACATCTGCCATTCGTGTGTTCAGCGAACACACAAACGGTATGGGCATTCGGGGAGACGTTTCGCGCCCCAAAATGTACTGCACCCTGACAGCACATTGTAATTGGCCAAAGCAATGCACCTGCCCATGGTCATGTGCAATGCTTTGGGCAATCACAGTGCATGATGATGTTACAAGGGGCGTCACAATGTTCTATCTCTGAGTCTGAGGGTGTATTGTTTGTGCTAGCTGACGTCCACACTTGTTAGCCGAAAAATAACATTTGCTGTTCATCTTGTCACAAGCAATGAGAGATTTATCTTCAAAGATGCATAAAAGATCACGCCCAGCATTCGAGAGGGCCAACAGATTCGTTGTAGCTAATGTTTGTTTATGGGAGGCTTCTAGAGAGGTGATAGGAGTGAGCAATTTATATATCTCTAGTGTACGGTCACGTTTCAAACGAGCCCCATGTTGAATAAACACCCCATGTAAGATTTCAATGCCTCCCACTTAGTGAGTGGATCTGTATCATCTGAAGCATGGGTAATGACAAACTCCTGAATGGCTTGAGAAATCGCAGCTACGCATGAGGAATCCCTTAATAGATTGTTATTCAATCTCCATGTCCCCTTTCTCTTTCTCGGACCAGGACTACCTAGACACAAGTGTAAAGAGGAATGATCTGACCATAAATGAAAGCCTATAAAGGTGTATGAGGAAGACTCTAATAAGGTC